GTGGCAATCTTGAAAGCATTAACATCACAAACTTCTCTGCAAGGTACAATTCGGGTTGGATTCGCATCTAAACCCTCATAGCCTCACTGAAATAAAAGTGCGAAAATAAATACAACTGAAAGGAGTTTTGTCAAACGAGATTGCCAAGAATAAAACCTAACAAAAGTATTTAATCTACAATCTCGAGGAGCCTCAAAGAGTTTCTTCGCAGAGTGTTACACCTTTAGAAATATTCAACATAGGAACATCATAAAGATCATAACTGCTTGCTCAACTATTGATTTTCAAGGTAATGATTTTAAAGCTCTAGTGTATGAGTTCATGCCAAATGGGAGTCTCAAGTAGTGGCTGCATTCAAATCCAGAAACAGATAATAGAGGAGAAGCAAAAAAAACTTCATCTTCTTCAAAGACTAAACATTGCTATAGTTATGGGATCATGTTATTGGAGATGACGACAGTAAGGGAACAATTTACAGAAAGTTTATAGGAGACCTTAACCTTCACAACTTTGCTAGGATGGCCTTGCCTGATCATGTTATTGAAATTGTGGACCCGATACTTCTAAGTAGCAATAAAGAAGAATAACCCCCAACGAATCTGAAAGCAAGACAAGAAAGAAATGCAAGCACAATGGAGAAGCGGTGATTATAATGGTTAATATTGGAGTGGCATGCTTGATGGAGTCACTGCAAGATCGAATGAATATAAGGAATGTTCTCCACGAGCTGCATTGACTGAAGCTTAATTTGCTCCTACAGATTTCATGGTACGGAAGTTTTAGAAAGAACCTTTGACTCATGGCGCATGGTGCATAATCTGAATGCCATATAGTTAAGACAATAAATTAATGTACATATATTAATTTATAGAGGTTTACATATTAGGTTTCTAGCTAGATGTGGCATCTAAAGACGTGCTGGTGATTAAATAAAAGCTACCATTCTAAGTCTTGAATCCTGAGGCAAAATGCATGTATATTGCACTGGTTTGCACTAATGAACATGCTTAAAAAAAAAATAAATAAATAAATAATGCATCAAGGAGGAACAGAGTGTGTGCTTTTAAATGAACAATCTTATTGACCTTATTTTGTATACAAAAATACTATACAAAGTAACAAAGTAATAAAATCGACACTCGTCATGTCATACAGTGTTAATTTTCTGCACCAAAAACGTTGACCACCTTATATTAGATCGGAATAGTTTCGAATCCCTCCCTTCAAAGGTTGGCAACCTAAAGAATTTGGCCGAACTGGATATCTCTGAGAATAAATTGCCTGGTGAAGTTCCAAGTACCCTTGGGAGCTGCACTAGTCTCCAAAACTTATCCTTGGAGGGTAACTTGCTTCAAGGGTCTATTCCTTCATCATTGAGCTCCTTAAGAGGTATTCAATACTTCGATCTTTCTCATGACAACTTGTCAGGACAGATTCCCAAATTCTTGGAGCAGATTCCCCTCATGTATTTAAATTTATCATCTAATAATTTTGAGAGTGAGGTTCCAAGCATAGTAATTTTCTCACATGCAAGTGCAATATCAGTTTCTGGGAATAATAGGCTCTGTGGGGGCATTTCTGCACTACAGCTACCAAAATGCACCATCCAAAGATCAAAGAATCAAAAAAATGTCCATTACAGTCATATTAATTATCTCTACAGCATGTATGCTTGTTGGAGTAATAATTGTGTCAGCATTTCTGCTCTGCTGGTTTAAGAGGAAAAGGAAAGTTGGTCCTATGGATCATTGTTGAGGTCATTCATGAAAGTTTCTTACAAAATACTCCTTAAAGCAATTGAAGGGTTTTCTTCAGAAAATTTGATTGGTGTGGGTGGTTTTGCTTCTGTGTACAAGGGAATCCTTGATCAAGATGGATCAGTTGTCGCTATCAAAGTATTTAATCTACAATCTCGAGGAGCCTCAAAGAGTTTCTTCGCAGAGTGTTACACCTTTAGAAATATTCAACATAGGAACATCATAAAGATCATAACTGCTTGCTCAACTATTGATTTTCAAGGTAATGATTTTAAAGCTCTAGTGTATGAGTTCATGCCAAATGGGAGTCTCAAGAAGTGGCTGCATTCAAGTCCAGAAACAGATAACAGAGAAGAGAAGCAACAAAGACTCAGCCTTGTTCAAAGAATAAACATTGCTATAGATGTGGCGTGTGTGCACTTGATTATCTTCATCACCACTGTCAAACGCTGATCATTCATTGTGATCTGAAGCCAAGAAATGTTCTTCTTGACCATGACATGACAGCCCATGTTTGTTATTTTGGTTTAGCTAGGTTTCACACCAAGCTCAGTAATCCAAACCATAGCAGTTCTATTGGAGTAAGGGGAACTATTGGATAAGCAGCTCTGGATAACTTTTTTATCAAAACTAATGCTAATTTTTCCAATGATTAAATTTTAATTATGTCTAATGTTTTCCCTAAAATTTCATTGCAGAGTATGGTCCAGGAGGTGAGATGTCCCCAAATGGTGATATCTATAGTTATGGGATCTTGTTATTGGAGATGACGACAGTAAGGACCAACTAACGGTATATTTGGAGGAGACCTTAACATTCACAACTTTGCTAGGATGGCCTTGCCTGATCATGTTATTGAAATTGTGGACCCGATACTTCTAAGTAGCAATAAAGAAGAATAACCCCCAACGAATCTGAAAGCAAGACAAGAAAGAAATGCAAGCACAATGGAGAAGCGGTGATTATAATGGTTAATATTGGAGTGGCATGCTTGATGGAGTCACTGCAAGATCGAATGAATATAAGGAATGTTCTCCACGAGCTGCATTGACTGAAGCTTAATTTGCTCCTACAGATTTCATGGTACGGAAGTTTTAGAAAGAACCTTTGACTCATGGCGCATGGTGCATAATCTGAATGCCATATAGTTAAGACAATAAATTAATGTACATATATTAATTTATAGAGGTTTACATATTAGATTTCTAGCTAGATGTGGCATCTAAAGACAAGCAAGTGATTAAATAAAAGCTACCATTCTAAGTCTTGAATCCTGAGGCAAAATGCATGTATATTGCACTGGTTTGCACTAATGAACATGCTTAAAAAAAAAATAAATAAATAAATAATGCATCAAGGAGGAACAGAGTGTGTGCTTTTAAATGAACAATCTTATTGACCTTATTTTGTATAAAAAATACTGTACAAAGTAACAAAGTAATAAAATCAACACTCGTCATGTCATACACCTGATATTAATGGTGATTTTAAATTATCATAATGATTTTTTGTGCTTGAACTAGGTGAATTTTGTTAGTGCCCGAAACTAATCTAGAATGAGTTTATATTTATGCCCTTGAAATCTCATTTTTACAGGACAATATGAAGCTTGATGCTTATCAAAACAGTGAGAAATGGCGTGGAACACTCATTTAAAAAGGAAGAGGATTATGATTGTACTTTTATCTTCAAACTGGGATCCTTTATGTCACAAAATTGTATAAATAATTTGACTCCCAGATTATTTCCCATTTAGTCCATATGAGAATGATAATGTAATGTCCATGTGTGGTTTGATTTTGCGTACCTTTTAATTTTTCTATCCGATGATACCATGCAACACTTTGTCATAAATAAGGGAAACGTGATAAATAATTATTAATAATAAATGAACTTTATGAGTATTAAAGGAATTAATAATAAACTATTGCTACCACAAGATCCACAATAGTTTGGGTTGGAGTTAGATATTTGATTTCCTTGCCTTTCATATAAGGTCTAGTTTAAATGACTGACTATTCAACTGTAAGGGCTGATCAATTGTTTACTTATTCCATTGGTTCGTCAAATCCTGTAATTAATAAGTAATACCAGAGGAGATCAAGCTACACGTTGTTTAAAATTTCAAGCTTGACAATGGTAACAATAAGTAGAAGAAAAACAATTGAGCAAAAAAAATGTTGTGAGAGCTCATATGGAATATATAATTATGAGGACATTTTTGGCAAAAATGAATTCGTTACACACACTTTTTAGTGTGCGATAGGGCCTTCAATTTAAATTCCAAAGCAGATAATCAAACAGATATTCCTACGGTGAACAGATAGAAATTCAAAACCACATATTTTCACATGAATGGCATACAAAATCATATCAAACACATAATCATATTCATATTAAGGACCAATTAGCATAGTACGGAACAGGGATACCACAGCTCCCCTTATATAGAACAAGCAAGCAAAAAGCTTGCTTCATCTCTCCATACACGTATATGGAGGATGTATTCCGTGACCAACAACTGGCTCAAAATATCTAAAAAATGAGAAAATTGGCCGCCGGCCACCTCCCCTAGCCGACCAACCACTTCAAGTGGCTGGCAAGAAGGAAAAGTGGTCGGCAATAGCCAAAAGTGGCCGGCAAGGCCCTTCTCCCCTCCAGGCAAGAGACACCAAGGTTTGGCCCAAAAACCAGGCCAAAGCATAGAGTGTTAAGAGGCTTAAAGACAAGGCACTTAGCTGAGAACTTCGGGCGCTCGAAACAAGCACAAACATGTGCAATCATCGCGTGCACAAACGATGACATATGAGTCTTAAGGTCGGTCAAAAATAGGGTGTCTACACCTTGAAATCTCATTTTTACAGGACAATATGAAGCTTGATGCTTATCAAAACAGTGAGAAATGGCGTGGAACACTCATTTAAAAAGGAAGAGGATTATGATTGTACTTTTATCTTCAAACTGGGATCCTTTATGTCACAAAATTGTATAAATAATTTGACTCCCAGATTATTTCCCATTTAGTCCATATGAGAATGATAATGTAATGTCCATGTGCGGTTTGATTTTGCGTACCTTTTAATTTTTCTATCCGATGATACCATGTAACACTTTGTCATAAATAAGGGAAACGTGATAAATAATTATTAATAATAAATGAACTTTATGAGTATTAAAGGAATTAATAATAAACTATTGCTACCACAAGATCCACAGTAGTTTGGGTTGGAGTTAGATATTTGATTTCCTTGCCTTTCATATAAGGTCTAGTTTAAATGACTGACTTTTCAACTGTAAGGGCTGATCAATTATTTACTTATTCCATTGGTTCGTCAAATCCTGTAATTAATAAGTAATACCAGAGGAGATCAAGCTACACGTTGTTTAAAATTTCAAGCTTGACAATGGTAACAATAAGTAGAAGAAAAACAATTTGAGCAAAAAAAATGTTGTGAGAGCCCATATGGAATATATAATTATGAGGACATTTTTGGCGAAAATGAATTCGTTACACACACTTTTTAGTGTGTGAACAATACACAAAACTTGATTGGCCCAAATATGTGAACTTCATACCCAAAAAGTTTAATGATGACTCCACCCAAAGTGCTTTGATCTCTCTCCCTCTGCTAGTAGCCTTTGTGAGGGCATGGAAGGACTACAGCTGCGTCGATGCTCATACACAAAAACAAATCACAGAATAGATCACGAAAAACTTACAATAGTGTCCCATATCCCACACAGAGCCCCACCCTTTTCCATAAAAGAACTCAATTTGTCCAATAATGATTTTAAGGGTAAGTTACCAACGAAGGGAGTTTTCTCAAATGTAAGTGCAATATCAATTATAGGTATTGTGGCAGTATTTCTGAATTACAACTACCCAACTGCACCACCAAGAAACCAAAACTTAAAATGCCCCTATTGCATATATTAGCAATTGTAGTAGCTTCTACACTTGTTGGAGTAACCTTGGCATCATTCTTCGTAATTTGTTGGTTCAAGAAGAAAAACAGTTTCATTGCTAAAAGAATTCTTTGAACGTCTCGTATGAAAAACTCAACGCAACAAATGGCTTCTCTTCTTCGAATCTTATTGGTTTTGGTAGTTTTGGCTCTGTATATAGAGGAATTCTTGATCAGGATGGGAACTTAGTTGCCGCTCTCACACTACTTAACCTTCAAAATCGTGGAGCTACCAAGAGTTTTGTGGCAGAGTGTGAAACCTTGAGAAATATTTGACATCGAAACTTGGCCAGAATCATAACTTCTTGTTCCAGTATTGATTTTCAAGGAAATGAATTTCTTCAGTTCAAAAAAAAAAAAAAAAAAAAAGTCAGTTAAAAAAAAAAAAAAAAAAAAAAAGAAATAAGTTCAAAGCTCAAGTTTATGAATTCATGCCTAATGAGAGTCTAGAAGTGGTTGTATTCTAGTCTAAAAACGAATAATCAACAAAATGAGGTCCGGAGACTCAACATTCTACATAGCATAATCATTTCAATAGACTTAGATTGCTTATATTGGACTCCACATATACCCCCACAGAGGTCAATAGACTTCATTGAATAGCCTAAGAAAATACAAAACAATAGGAGTTGGCAAAAGGCCAAGTCACAATTACCACCAAAGCACCAGCATAAATGCATTATACAGGAACTACACTTGGGAACTAAATTTCTTGTCAGCATCCAGGACTTAATAAGATCCTGCTGCAATTCATGACAGTGCCAGTACCCAAAAAAGGCATAATAATTAGAGGTAGGTTAATTATAGTTTTAGTCCCTAAAGTACTAGCTTTATGTAATTTTGATCCTCAATATTTAAATTGTGTCAATTTAATTTCCAACGTATAAAAGTTTTTCAATTTGGCTCTCAATATTTAACACGTATATTGTCGCCAAAAAATACAATCGGCAACCAAATTCAATTTTGTTGCTAAAAAACGTCGCAGAAAATGCTTTTTGTTGTAGTGTTAGTATATGCAATTAATGCACCAGAAGCCTTAGCAATTGTCATGTTGCATGTAATGGATGCAAGCATTATTAGTTTCTTCTATGCAACCACAAAATATATTATCACTCATCACACAGTCTAAAGGGTGGACTATCAATTCCAGGACTGTCCATCGTGGGCAAGTTATGCAAGCAAGTTGAGCAATGGAAACAATGCACACTTTCTATTTTGTTTTCCCACACTGGCGAAATTGAAAAAAAAATAAATAAATAAAAAAAGAGAGGAAAGGAAAAAAAGAAGCCAAATTAATTCACGTGCATTACAGTCCTAAATAAAAAATCCACATGCAAATAATTATAAAAAATCCACACAAATTCACAATGACTAATATCTGCAAATAATATATTTTCATAAATTAGAGCACAACAAAGACTAGAGATTTTCATTGAAGCACCAAACCAATGAAAAATAGCATCAAGCATAGAATTAAGAATTGATTTA